ACATACATACATACATACATACATACATACATACATACATACATACATACATACATACATACATACATACATACATACATACATACATACATACATACATACATACATACATACATACATATATATATATATATATATATATATATATGCCCCCAATTAAAATTAAGGAGACCCCATCTAATTAGGTTGATTTTTACCTTTTTGTTTAATTGTTTCTAAAAAGTGTTTTTTTATTGCAAATAATTAATTTTTTATTAAATACAATTTTACATTGCCTATTGAAAAATGTTTCACTTTCAATAAATGTTTGAAATAAAATTCATTATCTTTTTGTCATTTCTTATTACCATTTTTTTGTAAAAAAATCCAGGGGTGCTGCCCCCAAACCCCAGAACCATCATGCCCCCAACTATCTTAATTTCTGGATCCGCCACTGGTTAAATTTGTGCTTTCCCTGTTTTATGCATATGTCGTGATCTTTCTTTTTGTGCATCTTGAGTTGGGGGGTCTCTTGGAAACAACCTCTCTAGTTTCGGGTAGGGGCAAGGGCTGCGTACACACACCCTCCCCTGACCCCACTTTTGTGAGATCCATCTGGGTTGTTGCCGTTGTTGTCATTGCTTTTTGAAGATTTGTAAATCTAAATAACCATAGAGCTTAATTAACTGTGTATGATAACCACAGAGCTTTAATAACCACAGAGCTTCTTACTCCCTCCGTTTCTTAGAACACTTCTTCTGTCATTTTTTTTCTCTTTCCCCAAAATACTTCCACTTTCTATTAAAGAACTACTTTTACTCCTACTTTTTCTTATCATACCTATCACATCATACTTTTTCACTAACAATCTACCCATCACATCTTACTTTTACCCATCACATTAAGGGCAAAATTGGAAAGTCAACTCCAAATACCATTCCTTATTTTTGCCCAAAGTCAATATAAGAAGTGTTTATGAGAACAGAGGGAGTAGTAGTTTAATTATTACCCCAGGTAGAAATACTAGACTAACCAAGTCTCACAATGTTAAAACATGGCCCTACTGTGTGGAACTATGGCTTATTCATTAAGGGATAGTTGATCACTTTCACTTAAGTAATAGGTAAACTATATTCAACATAACAAGGAGATTGAAGGGAGTGATGCCCAACTATGTTGTCTCATATTGGAGTCACATTTATTAGAGCTGTTACCCACTAACCCTCATTCCAACCATTCAAGACATTTTTTCCTATGGCATTACAAGATCTTTTTATTGCGACCATGGTTTTAAAAGGCGGTCCGCCTTGAGGCGGTAAGGCGGTGGAATCTCGCCTCAGAGGCGTCCGCATCAGCTAGCATATGTGAAGCGTACGCCTTGGTTGTCTGAAGCGGAACAAGGTGGTTGAGGCGTTGAGGCGATGTCGAGGCGATAGCCTTAGTGCTTATGCCAATTTCAAAGTTTTTTATGGTGTATACTTCTTAACCAAGTTATTGGGCCTTTTTATAAAAACTTGGGCCTGTTCAATACTTTTAAAAGTTTAAATTCTTTGTTGAAAACTTCAAATACGGCAGACAAAATCTAACCTTCCGATGCCTCTAAATCTCTCTGGTCACCGTCTCATAGTGGAGTCACGAGGCGCAACCGTGAGTCGTTGTTTCTCCCTCTCGGTTGCCTTTTTTTCTTTTTGTAGTCGTCTCTCACTTCTCACCCGCACTAGCAGGTAGAACTAAGGTATGCTTTTTCATTCTATAATTACCTTATTTTCTAATTACTTCATCTTCTACTTTTTCAAATATAAAGTTGTTTAAGTAAAAAAATCATGACATTTGTAATGGTTGTACTTATAGCACTCCGTAGTTCTTACATTAAAATACATCGCTTTTTACTCCCATGATAAGATATGGACAATGTTTATGGAATGGACGATAAGTTGTCTAAAACCTAGAGACTAGAATTGAAGTCTCAAAATGATGTCATGAATATGGATTGTCTTATTGCCTTTTAATTTTACCCTTTTTTTGGTTTAAATGAAAACATATGTATGACTTTATGACTTATTTTTCATATTTAGGAATTATGCATTTTGTTGTGCCTAAGCATTTTTATTTTGTTATTTTTTTCAAGTTGAACTGAGGCTACCGCCTTGTTCCACCTCGAGGCCTACGCGTCAAGCCATTTTGCCTAACCGCCTCGAGGCTCGTTTTCGCCTTTAAAAAACTTGATTGTAACAACATGGTATCTAATGGTTTTACACGGTTGATAGTTCAATATTAACATCAAATAGTTGGAAATGGAAATAGGAACATTTTTGAGGAGAATCAAGAGCTCATGATGTAACCCAATGAAGCTTATGGAAGTTGGACGATCACGAGCTCCCTTTTGGGCAAGCTTTTGTTGTCCTTTTTCTTGCAATAAAGTTTTAACCGAAATATGATTAAGTTTTATGCTTTTATTCTTATTATTTCATTTCTTGGTGTTGGGTTGTTTTAAATGATGTCAAGGAGTTCTTCAAAAAACTTGTTTATCCTTCCAAGTATCACATCATTGTCGCGTAATCCCAAAGTTATCAAGATAATAACGTAGGAAGAGGTTGAGGTTGCCATTGCAGTCGAGGAGGTTGTGGCCCATGTCATTTTTCTGACAACATATAGAACGCACAAAGGAGTGTTGGAAACTCCTTAGCAAATCTAATGAAATTGGTGTTGCTCAATCTAAACTTGAAAAAACTTCTCTAAACACCTCCGACATTGCTCTTGCCTAATAGTCTAAATCAGCTCGGGGTTTTGATTTGGAGCCCTCCATTATATTTATAGTAATATTTCTCTTTTCTCCCAATAGGTATTCGAACTTCTTTCCATCAATCACATTTGGTGATATGCCAAAGTGCATTGCTGAAGGCATCAGAAAAGTCATCACTACACTCCTTATCATAATATCATTATTGAATGTTTTCTCTCTTTGTGGATGCCCTAAAAACCTGATTCCAGCATCCTTCTACCCCCTCTATCTATTTTTTTTACTTTTCCATATTTCTTTGACTGCATATCTAAGTTGCAGCGAGACGGGGACGGGGTAAAAAACGTGGAAACACCAACTTTTCCAAATTTTATAAAGGATTTGGGTATCGTGACGTCCTCAAGTATCCAAACGGGGACATTTCGAGGACAAGAAGCCGTATTTATTTGAAGAATGCGTGCAACAGAGCTGCATAGCTGATAGGATTGGAAAACAAGGGAGACATTGGCATGGGATATAAATATACAAGGACTTTTTTGTCCCTCATGTTTCTCTAACAGAGTTTTCGGTTCTACTGTCGTAAGGCTAAGCTTCCAAGTATATATAGCACACCACACCTTGCATACTTTGCATTCTCTTAGTGTATATTAAAAAATCAAGATCCAACTCGTGGAATCATTTACGATTCATGGTCGACCAATCAACTCAAATCACATTTTAGTTCGTATGTCATATTTGAATGGTGATGAATCACTTATAATTGAGGACAGAATGATATTGATGAGAAGATTGGTATATATAGGCCCATTAGCAACAAAAGCAATGCCTTTCATGCTACTGAAGATGAGATGTAATTTAGTGAGTGATTTTTTGTGTTTCAAAATGCTCTATGCTTATTGAAACTAGTAATTCTTTTGTGACTTTTTCATTTCCCCAAAAACACGAGTAATTTTAACTGATTCACTTTCAGAAATTTAAGATTTGCAATTTCAGAGGTCCAATAAATGATTTTAATAACCTTTAAATGTGTGTGTCTAAGTATGGTGGTGCGAACTTCATTGAATTATGTGTAATAAAGTTGCAGAGTTTTTTCTCAAAAATTTTCATTCTTGTGGTTGATTCAGCCAGTTGGTTCAAGGTAATTCTGCAGCTTTGCAGCAGATGCAAGGACGACCTCAACTAGGAACGGTAAATTCCTGGATCTTTAATCATTTTCCCGTCCCTTCTTCCCATGTGGTCCGTTAGATCCTTCAAGCCGATATCTTTTGGATGTTGTAGGACATAAAAGGAGAAGTGAACTTGGGTGCAAATCAAAAATCTTTACCAATGGATCCCACCTCCATATATGGGCAAGCAATTCTTCAGTCTAAGTCTGGGCTTGGTGGTGCAGGTATACTTGATTAATTTTTAAATAGTTGTAGGACTTGCACATGGACATGTTTATGTGAAAGACATGTTAGTAAAAGTTCTCTCTGTTTTAATACAGGAGACACTAATATCAATAGAGTATACTAAATTCATATGTTAAGAGTGTTTGAATCATTTGTTAAAGTTCAATAAATCCAATAATATCTCTTACATGAATTAGTTTTTATTCATTGTTCAATCTCTGTGCGATTGCATATGTTCCAACCTGCATGATTTATTTGTTGTTAGCCCAGCATCAGTAGTTTGGTTTTTAAGTATTTTATGAGGTATTTAAATTTTCTGAACTGTTCTTGACACTATTGAAACTTTTTATGAAGTATTGAAACTTTTTGTGAAGTATTGCTCTTGACTTGTTGTTTATGACTATCCACTTTTTATTTTTCAGGGTTAAATCAAGGTGTGACTAGCCTTCCATTAAAGGGCTGGCCCCTAACTGTAAGTTACAAGTGGTTCATGGGTGCCACATAACTTTTTAATGCATTTTATTTTCAGAAAAGCAAGTTCTTGAGTGATGAAGTTTTCCATAATGTGCAGGGAATTGACCAGTTAAGACAGGGTATGGGGGGGATACAGGTGCAAAAGCNACTATTGAAACTTTTTATGAAGTATTGAAACTTTTTGTGAAGTATTGCTCTTGACTTGTTGTTTATGACTATCCACTTTTTATTTTTCAGGGTTAAATCAAGGTGTGACTAGCCTTCCATTAAAGGGCTGGCCCCTAACTGTAAGTTACAAGTGGTTCATGGGTGCCACATAACTTTTTAATGCATTTTATTTTCAGAAAAGCAAGTTCTTGAGTGATGAAGTTTTCCATAATGTGCAGGGAATTGACCAGTTAAGACAGGGTATGGGGGGGATACAGGTGCAAAAGCCTAATTTACCTACCCAAAATCAGTTTCTTATGACATCCCAACAACATCCGGGACTTGCACAAGCCCAAACGCAAAACAACCTTGGGAACTCTAGTTATGGGTTTGGTGGGTTACCAAGAGGTAACTTCAACCCAAAAGATGGTCAACCAACAAGAAATGATGGATCTATATGCTCTCCTGTGCGATCAAATTCTCCAAAGGTTTTGCATATTTTCCCTGAATAAAGTAATAATCAAATAGATTGCTTCGGTAATGGCTGCGTAGAAGATAATTTTTTTAAACTCTGAAATCCTGTTTGTTGCCGACCCCAGGTAACTTGGGATGTAAGGCTTAATTGTGTGTTTTCTGTTAGTTATGAACCCAACTCTGCTTTTATCTGTTCCGGGGAGAGCTATCTGACTTTTGTTTGAAGACGTAGTGCAAACAGCCAAACACAGTAGATCCTTTATTTTGAGATGTGTTCTAAGAGATCAACGTAACTCTTGTTTGAGATGCAAAAAGAATGTCTCAAGCTAAGTTATTCGTAGCCTAAAACTTTCAGCATTCTGTTCTGCTTGGAACTGCAGAGAACAATCTCTGGACTTAAGAGACAGATTCCCTCCCCTGCATATATCATACCCCTCTCAGAGGGGCGAGCTGTGCATAATGCAATGTCTTCTGCACTTTATCCCTTTTCTCTCTTCCTGGGTTTTACTTTTCCTAGAAGTCAGAGAATAGAATTCCCAAAAGTCTTAATCCATAATGTTAATTATTCCTTGTAAATGCAAACATCCAATGCAAGCATAGTTTCTTAAGGCTGAATAACTGCATTGTTACAACAAGTTTAGTGATGGATATTAGATATGTTCCGTCTCATGAGTCGTGGCATTCTGGGGAATGTAAAGCACCCTCCATCATAATAAAAGTATTTATAACCATTAACTATGAGAGTTTGTCTCGGACCATTTTTTGTGGGTCTAATTGGTTGACTAAAGAACCTAACTATTCAGGAAATGATGGGAAACTTTGATGTATCAATGTGAACTGCTTTTGGAGGCTTAAGTTTCTGACATATTGGTCTATATACTCCCTCCGTCCCAAAATAAACTTTACACTTAGATTTTCATGTGTCCTAAAATAAACTTCACACTTTTCTCTTTTCATCTTAAGAATTGTAATAGGTGGCTGAGCTATTTTAGGACAGAGGGAGTATAAGCTGAATTAGATTTTTTTGGCTGGTTCAGTATGTGTTAGCCTGCTATTGAGTACTTATGTTTTGCAGATGAAGATGCCCCAAATGCAACAATCTTCATCTCAACAACAGGACCAACTGCAGCAACAACAACATTTGCAGCAGGTCAATTCCACTTTCCTTCCTTTAAACAATAATATATTAGTATATGTTATTGTCTTGATGAAGCTGCATGGAATTAATTCTGCAGTCAATAGCTCCGAGTGTTAGAATTATTGTACGAAGAACACTGCGGAGCAGTGTTGATGAAGAACTCGATAGTATAACGAATCGCGTATGAACACTTTCAGAGTCGAAATCCTGTCACTCAATCCATACCACGAGACTCTATTTTATAGAGTCGAAAATTCATGACCGGACATGAACGTTCGCGTAGGCGCGTACGTTCGCGCAGAGAGGAAGAAACGTTCGCGCGGATAAGAAAAAAGGGTTTTGAACGAAAAGTCTCCTGCGGTTTTGGAGTCTATTTCGACGTTTTTCCACTCGTTCGAGTCCTTTACTGTTTTGGACTCCGATCACGGAAATCTTAAGGATTTTCATAAAAAACAACTCGACCCCGGCCAGGGGCTGCCGCCCCTTGGACCCCGCTACCCGGGGGTTTCCGCCCCAGAAACCCGCTACCCCAGGGGCTGCCGCCCCCGGACCCCGCTGTGAATTTGTAATATCGTTGAATGAGCGCACACTCCGCGCCTCCTAACTCGTTTGACAACGTCTATTTAAATTCTTGTCCGATCTAAGTAAATCCAATCACACAAAATAAACCGTTGACACTAAAATCACCAACACCGAGCATCATCGGGATGCTATTCTGTTCTTACCTAAATACAAAGTATATTAGCAGTACACTTGCTTTTTTAGGTTAGGGTTGTCTTTTGACTATTTTGCCAATCTTTATATAACATCTATTTTCACTCAAATTTACCCTTGGAATGATCGTGATCTTTTTTAGAGGGTAAAGATTATCCTGAATAATCCCGTTTGGATTTAGTGGGGACCCTGACAATAAAATCTCGATTAAGTAATGAGCCCAATCGAGAACTTTATAAATCCCGACAATAAATTTCACATGCTATGCACTATATGTTATATTGGTGTTCTTTTGTACTTCTGAACATGTCCTTGTGACCTTACGATATAGGTTGTGCCTACTTTTGTGGTTAATTGAATGGGCCTTTTCTGGTGGTACAGGCTAACCGAAAAAGGAAGCAGCATTCGTCATCTGGTCCTGCTAATAGTACAGGTACTGGGAATACGGTTGGCCCTTCTCCAAATTCACCACCGTCAACACATACTCCTGGTGATGCAATGGCCACGGCTAGCAGCATGCAGCATATCAGCAGTGTTTCAAACAGCTTGAGGATGTATGGTGCTGAAGGAACTAATGGCATTGCATCATCTACTAATCAACTGGTAGGCTTCTTTGCTTTTTGTATGTGCATGGTGGACTAACTATAGGCATAATGGTGTCCGTGTCCCGTGTACCCTCTCATGAGACATTAGTTTGATTGTTATGAAATATTAGTAAAACCATTGTGATTTATGAAACCACTTTTAAGTTCATTTTGGACTGTTCAGTAATTTTTTGAGATTATGAAACTTGCATTTCAAAATACTTCTTCCATCTCATATTATTGTTCCCACTACATTTGGCACAAAATTATAGCCCTTGTTTATTAATAGAGAAAAACTCATGGAATTAATAAAATAGATCAGATAGGGCAATATATAATATTTTGCGCCTTCCATCCCACTATTTTTGGACACGTAGAGTGAAATACAAATTTATAAAAAGTGGAAATTTGCGATTGAGATTTAGTTTGTAAGGTATGACTTGATTTAAATTTTGAGCCACCTAAGTCATATAGATATGGCATGAGAGAAAGATTTTGGGACAATCCAAAATGGAAAAGAGGACAAACTTAGTGGGCATGAAGGAGGTATAGGTAGGAAATGGGAGCACTATGCAACAACTCATTTAGGGGTGTAGAAGCACTAATGTGGAACGATGGGAGTATTAGGCTCCGTTTGGCATTAGCTTAAATGTTTTGAAAATTGCTATCCAGTGGTAGCTTTTAGCATTAAGGTTTTCAAAATTAATTTGTATCATTAAAAAAACATACAAAATGCTATCGCTAAACAATATTGTTGTTCTCAAACAAAGCCTTAGTAGAACCACTATTTGGAAACTTGGCTGTGCTTGAAACATTGTGGACTAATGATGCTCACAAGTTCATAATGCCTTGATGCTCAAGTTCCCCATTAAAACTTATTTCCCATTTCTTATAGGATGACTTGGAGAACTTTGGAGATATTGGTTCCTTGGAAGATAATGTGGAATCTTTTTTGTCACATGATGGGGGAGATGGAAATATATATGGCACATTGAAACAGACTCTCACAGACCACAAGCCCGAGCCTTCCAAAGGTAACTATCAAGTTTTCTAATTACATGATTGATTACTTGAGTAAACACCTCACTTGGTGACTTCATCTCAGGGTTTTCCTTTGGGGAAGTTGGATGCATTCGGACGAGGAATAAAGTGACCTGCTGTCATTTTTCTTCTGATGGAAAGTTGTTAGCTAGTGCTGGGCATGACAAGAAGGTAGGATGTTGTTTTGGCAGAACACTTTGCTATTATAACATTAGATTAGCAATTTCCTCGATTCTTGCATGTGAAATTAAATTGCTAGCCCTTTTAGAAAATAATATTCTCCAGTTTTTTTCTGTGTCTTTCTTTGTTCTCTACCTATTCTAGATAGGGATAAGGTCTACGTACCCCCTCCCCCCAAAGATCCCACTTTGTGGAATTTTACTGGGTAGGTTGTCAACTCTGCATCTTTGGAGCAGATCAATGTATGCTCTATGTTAGAATCTTTCATTTTGATTCATCATTCAAATGTACATTGTCCTTGTATGTTTCAGGCTGTAATTTGGAACATGGACACTTTGCAAACTGAGATGACTCCAGAAGAACACCAACACTTAATTACTGATATTCGGTTCCGGCCAAATTCAACCCAGCTTGCAACAGCTTCATTTGACATGTCTGTGAGACTCTGGGATGCAGCTAATGTAAGAACAAAATCTGTGCCTGAGAATTGGTTGATTTTCAGTGTTTAGAATGGTTGAGTTATAGATCTTTACAATACATGAAGTGTCATATTGCTGCTGTAACAATGCCATACTGTTTTATAACCAGCGAAGCATTTTTTTGCAGGCGGATTATTGTTTGAATGCCTACACTACGCATACTTCACATGTTATGTCCCTTGATTTTCATCCCAAGAAGAATGATATTTTCTGCTTCTGTGACAGCAGTAATGAAGTTCGTTACTGGAGTGTTTCTCCATTCTCGTGTACTAGGGTGTCCAAGGTAAGCCCTTTTAATTATTTTCTTGTGCGTCTCGAATTCTCTATAATCTTTCCTAACTGGAGTCTACAAACTAATCCATGTTGACTACCTGTAGCTTATCTATAGTGCCTAATCCATGCAAACTAGTTCATATTGACTAAGAGAAATTCTAAATTGACATCATTCCTATTGGTGTCAATCAGCGACACCAGCTCAATTGAGGTGCTCTGCTCGTAAACTTGATGGTTCCTACCCATAACCTCCCCTAAACCCCACCCCACCCCTCTGCCCCATTTCCTTAATCACCATTTTGGCAAAATAGTGATTGAGAGTTTGGGGGGGGGGGGGTAGGGGCAGCAACTATCAAGTTTACGAATGGAGCACTGTAGATGCCCTGATTGTACTAGTGTCACATTTGGTGTTGTAAATGAGTGGTGTCAAATTAGTTGCCCGACTAATTCAAATATTACTGTTTAACTACTTGTGTCTTATCTGTAGAGCTACTCTCTCTCTCTCTCTATAGAGCACTAATCCTTATTGAGCTATATCTTAATCATCATTACTGTTCTCTCATGATAGCAAGGGGGAAGTGCTCAAGTAAGGTTTCAACCTATAACTGGACATCTTCTGGCAGCTGCATCAGACAAGGTGGTATCCATCTTTGATGTTGAGACTGACCGGCAACTACATTCTTTCCAGGTGTGCGAAATGCACTATGATAATTGTTAATTATCATCCACTTCCTTTTAATGAAAGCAATATGTTCACAATATTTCTTTTTTCTAAATAAACATCAACCACTCTTTTTAATTTTTTACATCATGCTCGGTAAAACCGGGCAATAATAAAGGGATGATGTTATTAATTTTTATGAAGAGTTTTTTTGTGCCATTTACCCCTGAGCTATTCTTAAAGTGCATGTCCCCCCTCCCACCCCCCGAACTTTCAAAAGTGTACCATTAGTCTTATTATTTTTTTCTTTTTATTAATGATTGGTTAAAGACGTTAAACCAATAGAACTTCTAAGGGTTTCAACCATGCACCATTTTAAAAAATATAGAACTAATGGTTCACTTTTAAAAGTGCACCATTAGTCTTATTATTTTTTTTCTTTTTATTAATGATTGGTTAAAGACGTTAAACCAACAGAACTTCTAAGGGTTTCAACCATGCACCATTTTAAAAAATATAGAACTAATGGTTCACTTTTAAAAGTTTGGGGGAAAGCACACATTTTATGAAACGTATAAGGACTAATGGTGTAGTTTTGAAAGTTTTGGGAAAAAACATGCACTTTTTAAAGAGTTTGGGGGTAAAGCACGCACTTTATTATAAGTGAAAGGAGTAATGGTGCATTTTAAAAAGTTCGAGAGGAAAATATGCACTTCATGAAGAGTTCGGGGGTAAATGTTACAAAAAAACTCTTTTTATGAATTATAAGGTCCTGTAATTATGTTGTATGCTCTTATCATGTTTCACTTCTCTGAATATAGGGACATTCTGGAGTAGTGAACTACTTATGTTGGGATCTAAACGGCGAACTGTTGGCGACAGTGAGTGAGGAGAGTGTCAAAGTTTGGTCATTGGGCACTGGTGACGCTATTCACGAATTCACTGCCAATGGAAACCAATTCCATTCTTGTGTTTTTCATCCAAGTTATTCTGCCCTCTTGGTCATTGGAGGAAAGGGGGTAAACACACCTAAAATTTCCCTCTATTGTTTCACTTATTTTTTTCTTTAGCCCCCCAAATTAATGAGATATACTTTACAGTCCCTGGAGTTGTGGAACATGGTCGAGAACAAGAGCATGACGGTCCCAGCCCATGAGAACATAATTGCAGCGCTGGCACAATCTCCTCTGACCGGAATGGTTGCTTCGGCTAGCCATGACAGCTCCGTCAAGTTATGGAAATAAGAATCCACACATTTTCAACATATATACCCAGTTGCTGATGATGTGATGATCTTTAGGGTGCCTGCCTACTTCTTGGAGTATTTACATTAGCTGCTTATAGTTACATAGGCCTGAAGTTTTTTATTAAAAAAAAAAAATTAACTGAGAGCTGAGTGAGATACTTCGTGGGTGGGGGAAGGGGTAGAGGGAGGTGAATGGAGGGATATGGCCTCTAATTTATGAAGTTGTAATAGTATCATTGAAACAAAAACTACAATAACACCAAGGTTGACACTATCAGGCTATTTACCTTAGTGTCATTCTTGGTGTTATTGTAGCATGGTCCTTGTTGAAAACCGTTGAACCTAGACGATGTCCTTTGGTGTAAGACTTTGTGTGTAGCTTAGATTCATACATTGTGGATTTGGGGTAATTCATACAATTTATTGTGGCATGTATTTAGCTGAGTGCTTTGTGCATTTGGGGTGATTCATACTCCATACAAGTTATTGTGGCATATGATATTTGGTTGAGAGTTGATCTCCCATTGGGATAAAAACATGCATTTTAGGACTGTGGTTGTGCTATCTCAATCCCTCTTGTGATTTGCAAAAATTTAAATTGTGTATATAGACACCAGATAGTTTTGCAAAAATCCGTAGTTGGATATGGAGAAGGAAGACCTTTTTTTATCAAACAATAAATCCACCACAGAAAAATTAAGGCTTTCATTGCTATGACGAGGAAGATGAAAACCGCCAAGCGTGGAGTTTCTAAGTTCGTGAGTAGATTCTTCGGAATTGGATGGGAGAGGGAAAAGAATGTGATACGATTTAGATGTGAAAAGAATGAGACTCGTCGGAGTTTCAATCACTTGCCTTACATTTCGTGAAAATCGAATTCAAAAGTATCTTCTTAATTTATGTACATACAATACTTTTTTCAATTATTCTAAATGATGTTCCCGTAAACTAAAGGCGTATCATATCTACATTTTTATTCTTATTTGTGATAGAACTTGTGAGGAATATTCATTTTGTTGTAGAGAATGTTTATTTTAATTTTACATAATGTTCATTTTTTCATATGCTAGACATACAATTCTTTAGATACATCTACTTCTATAACATGTATGCTCTAATTTTGAAGAGTTGCTTCAATTTTGGAATTTCAGGTAGCATATAACTTTTCTTCTTTTTCCTCATTGTCAACAAAAAACATGTTATACCCTAACTCCCAAGGTCTCCTCGTAATAAGTATGAAGTAAAATTGAGTTATAATTTCAGTCTGGTGAGATATGTCTTTGATATTTGTAAGAACTTCATGCCTGAGAGAGTAAGTTATAATCTCAGTCTGGTCGAGAGTAAGTAAGATTTGGATTGGGAGAAAGACCGAAGTAGGACTAAAACATTGAAAATATACCAAAATAGAATTTTCATGTTTTTATTCTCGAAATAGGACATACTTTACCAAACAGGGTCATGTACATTACCAAAAAAGTATAGTAATGTGTGCACATGTACAGTGCCACATTACCACAATGTAAAGTCCTATTTCAAAAAAAACATAAAAGTCGTATTTTGGTACTTTTTTTATGTCTTAGATCTATTTAGGGTGATTTGGATTCATATCCTGATTGACACTACTCTCTACGCTCCCAAGCTTTCATTAACAATCATTACTTATAATATGTTCTTGTGTAGTCTGAAATTTGGATGGTGGCATGCTATTGGTGTTAACAAAACATCCACTGTCTCACCGAAAAAATAATTATTTTGGTAATAAATTGTTGATAAAAAATGCACTTTAATTTAATCCCATGTTTTAAACTTCATTATTCTAAAAAAAGATCTTACATTTTTTCATCAATCCTAAATAAGTTGTATACTTTTCCTCACTTTCATTTAAGAACGTAAATGTGTAGCTCACAAGTCACAATATTTTTCTCTACACATAAAATTTATTTTAGAACGAGAGGAGTATTTCTAAAAACATAGTCTAACTGTGTCTCTCAACGGCACTTTTCGTCTAACATGAGGTATTTTTAAAGGTCATATGGTTAAATTATAGGAAACTTATCTAAATAGCAGTAAAACATAATAATTTTTTCTAAATAGCATCACATGAGTTTTTTTCCAATCTAGCACTTTTAGTCATTATCCATTAGTCATTATTTAAGTAAATATTGGTCATCACTGGACATTATGGACATTATGAAGTGCTATTTAGGGAATAAAACAATTTAAGTACTATTCAGGGAAATGACTTAAATTTTAGTACTATTTAATGCAAATATTTCTTAAATTATCCGGTCGATTATGGAGCCTTGAGCATGGATGCAATTTTTTAATTTTTAACAACTCTATTCAAGAATAATTTGAAAATCACCATCTTCCAGACAATTTTTTTCACTATTAATATCTACTCTCTCCCATAATGTTTGCCATATTATGCAAAATAAAGTGAAATTTCAAAGAAAAATCAATTTATTTTATTTCAGAATTAGTATAGAAATAAAAAAATAAATTTTAAATATTTTAAGAACTACGTCAAAGATTTTTAAAAATTTAAAAGTGATAAGAATATTTTATTTTATCAAATAATTGATAAAAACATACAAAAAAACAAATATTCCAGTGAGTTTTAAATTGTAAACTGTCATTATTTTTAGGACGAATGAAGTATAATTATTTATTCCACTATTAAAAAGCTAGATTAAATACTTCCTAGAATGAAGTATATTCTAGTTAGAATAAATACTTCATCTATCCCAAATTTTAGGATAGTGATAGCCACACCCACTAAAATATTAAACTCACCATGTCAATTAAATACATCCCATGATGTATATTTATGTTATTATTAAAAAATATATAGATTTTATTAGTTTAAAAAAACAATATAAATATATTTTTAGTCGCATCCACCTTTGTTTTATGTTGTTACTTTTCAAAAAAGATTATATGAGTTTTAAAAAAGAAATTAAATTTTTCAAAGCTCTATTTTAATATTCATTGATTAAAATAACTTTTATTATTCTTAAATTTGATAACCAATAGTTTTTTTATAAACTTTTCATTTCTAAGAATTATACCAATATGTATTTCCCCATTCGAAATTTTTAATCTGCACATTTTTTTTTATTATTTTAAAAAGAAGATTATGTAAGTTTTATTATATTTTTAAATAAAATACAAAGCTTTATATAAAATTTAAAACTACACACCATTTATACTTTTTATTACTTTTCAAATACAAAGTTTTATTTAAAATGTAATAAATGTGCATCATTATTAACACTATAACTTTTGTTTTAAAAAGTATCAAATCTTATTATTAAAAAATATTTAGATAATGGATACTAATATTTATTAGAAAACTAAAATTTGAAATTATATTTTTATTCAGAATATTATTTTATCAATATGTTATAGAGTAACAAATTTAGAATAGATAAGAATCTATGTGAAGCACGAGATTAAAAAAAGTTTGGAAAATAGTGGGGTGAATTTAGTGTTTTGGCCAGGTGTGGCTATCACTAGCCCAAATTTTATTACCTACAATTTAACTTTTTTGGTTAAATATTATAAACTTTGATTATAAATTATAGAACAATAATGTTAATTATAATTTAAATTTAATATGGTTGCGTTAATTTTAAGATGCAACTTTAATATATCAAATTTTTATAACCATTTCTATTTGCTACAGATCTGCCACGGAAACCAAATCTGCTGGAGATATTTCCATAGCAGAATCTGTGGCCGATTTGCCACAAAAATTAGATTCCATCACAAATTTTAAATGGAATGAAAGAAAAAATTTCCATGGCAGATCTGCCACAGAATGCCGTTTCCGTTGTAGATAAAAAATCTTCCACAAGTTTTCTGCTACGGCGTGACTTTGTCACAAGTCCGTCGTAGATCCTCTATTCACCACGGAATTTGATTTTCTGCCACATAATTGGACCAAAAAAGTCAAATAGAAAATTTTGAGAGATCTTAATTAGGACTAAAACATGCTCCATTTACTAAAATATGACTTTCAATGTTTTTATACAAAATAAGACGTATAAAATTAAAGAGTGTCAATATATAATGCCAAAAATAGTGTGTAAAGGAATAAAACAAATAAGTTTAACTCAATCTGAAAGAATTAATTCAGAGAAAATTCTCTCTTCTGTTTCTCATCTTCAATTTACAAGTAGACATGTATATATAGGCTCTCACAGGTTGAGAAACCTAATCACAAAAGGAAACGAAATCAACCCTATACAAGGAAACTACCAAAAATATATACTAGAATATATATGAATATTCTCTTTCCTTTAACACCCCCCTCAAGTTGGAGCATGTAATAACGAAATGCCCAACTTGGGATGAAGAAACTCCAAACGGGACTTTCCGAGTGCCTTCGTATGAATATCTGCAAGCTGATGCGTAGTAGGCACATGAAGTGTACGAATCTCTCCTTGCAAGAGCTCATCACGAACGAAGTGACAATCAATCTCAATGTGCTTTGTGCGTTCGTGAAAAATCGGATTAGCAGCAATGTGAGGTGCCGCCGTGCTGTCACACCGGACCGTCATGGGGTTCTTATGTTCAACCCCTAAACACTGCAATATATTCTTCAACCACTTCAACTCACAAGTAAGGACAGCCAAAGCTCTATACTCTGCTTCAGCAGATGAACGAGCCACTGTCGACTGCTTCTTTGTTTTCCATGAGACAGGCGAGTCTCCAAGCTGCACAAACCATCCTGTCAATGACCGCCTCGTCAAAGGACATGCTGCCCAGTCCGAATCACACCATCCTGTGAGCTGAAGGCTACTATCTGCAGAGAGGAAAATGCCCTGTCCAGGACATCCCTTTAGATACCGAACAACTCTAAGAGCCGCAGACCACTGATCCTCCCTTGGTTCCTTCAAAAATTGTGCTAAAGTGTGGACTGCGTAGGAAAGTTCAGGTCGTGTAACCGAGAGATAAACCAATCGTCCTACCAACCGTCGATATGGTTCTGGATCTGCAAGAACTGGAGCTTGAGAACGAGCTAAATGATGATTTGGCTCCATCGGTGCACCCAACGGCCTGGCACCCAATAAACCTGCTTCAGTAATAATGTCCAAGGCGTACTTTCGTTGGCAGAGGAAAATCCCAGATGTACTACGTGCTACCTCGATGCCAAGAAAGAACTTCAAAACCCCCAAATCCTTCATATGAAAACAATTTGCTAAATAAGCCTTGAACATGCTTATCAATTCTGTGTTGTCTCCGGCAATAATCAAATCATCAACATAAACCAAAACATGAATTACTCCTTTCTTCCTAAGAAACGAAAACATAGAGTAATCAGAGATAGACTGGACAAATCCATAACACTTCAAAGCTCTAGACAACTTTGCAAACCAACATCTAGGAGCTTGTTAAGCCCTTCAACCTGATGATTACCAAGAACCACAAGCCTGGCCTTATATCTCTCCACACTGCCATCAGACTTGCGCTTGATTTTATACACCCATTTG